TAAAAAGCGTCATCTTTACGTACAATAGACGACGGTTTTTATAAAAAGCGTCATCTTTACGTACAATAGACGACTGTTTTTATAAAAAGCGTCATCTTTACATACAATAAACGTTTTTTTCCACTACACTCCTTGACCCTATATGAATACAATGACTGAATTTGATCTTCAATTTAAAATATTTACACTAGTGGATACCACAAAATCTTATGTTATATTTAACGAAAGTATAAATAAACTCTTAATTGTTAGTGAATATATTGTTTTGATGGCATACACATTCTACGAAACTAGTTTGAACGATCGAACCGTCAAACTTGTTTGTTTATACTTCGAGATCATATATGCCAAAAATCGAAAAAAATGAACATTCAGATATTAAGTAATCAGACATAACTTTTCGACGGTTATAAATGAAAAATCATGATTAAACAGTTATTTCAACTCCGATTTTGATGATTTTTTATAGCTACACTCTTTGACCCTATATGAATACAATGAACTAATTCGATCGTCAATTTAAAAAATATATTTTCTAACAAAAACCCAATCCAAACAACAATAATATATTTTTCTAACAAAGATTTTTAAAAATAAATTTTCTTATTTTATTTATTTTATAAGGGCTTTGCGCGACGAAGTGTTGTTGTTTCGTCGCTCAAAGTAGCTTTGCGCGACGAATTTTTTTTCGTCGCGCAAAATTTGGTCGCGCAAGACTTTGAGCGACGACGTATTGTTGTCTCGCAAAAGTTTGTCCCGCAAAGTGACTTTGCGCGACGAAGAGAATTTCGTCGCGCAAAATATGATCGCGCAAGGTTTTTCGCAACAAAGTTTTGAGTTTCGTCGCGCAAAGTGTGTTTGCGCGACGAATAATTTTTCGTCGTGCAAGGGTTATTTTGTAGTAGTGCCATAAGCTTTAGCGTAAAACAAATACAAATTAAATGCAATCATAAAACACATAATATTAAAATGAAAATATGTTTATGTATATTTTTATTGATGCCTTGCAACTAAATTCATAAAGAATTGGACTTTTTTTATACCTTAATTGGTTAATACATACTTGGCTATATTTAAAACAAGTCAAATATATAGGTTTCAATATTTTTTTTATCCCCAAAAACCTCCCTAGGCTACAGCCCGCTGTAGCCATTAGCCTAGTTCCGCCCCAAAAACAGTATCTTAGGAAATCCACCTGCAATAAAAAGAAGAAGAAGAAGAATATCGATTAACTTGACAAAAAGAACCAGAGTTTTTCAATCTAAGCAGAAAAAGAAAAGAAAAAAAAAATACTAGCTAAGCAAGCAAGATATATCCCACTAAAGCGAAGATTACAAAGAGTTTTTATGTCTTCTAAAACAGCTTCTCTTGTGAATTGAATCAAATAAGCCATGCCCGAAGGATATATTCTCATTAAAGAATGACTGCTTAATTAGTGCTATGGCATAATGCATAGAATTGCTTGCACATTTAGTGGTTGGCTTGCCGCTATTCAAATAGGGGTTAAAAGCTTGTCAATTAATACTGGGATAGTTGAAACATCTTTACGGATTCTTTCTTTGCATGTAACCATGTACTAATGTAGAAAGTGATCCGCAAAGACGCTTTTTCGAAAGTTAAAAACAGAAAAGAAGGCACATTTGGTTCTCCTTTAAGATGTTTATACAGTACAGTAGACACTGTTTCCATTAACTAGCTAAAGACATTTTCATACCAAGCAAAAAAAAAAATTGAAGAAAAAATTGGCTGAAAACATTTAACATACCTTTATCATTTTGCAGGTAGAATTGTACAGATAGTGGATTCAGATTAATCATTCTTCTGAGCAGAAGCAAGAATCTCTTTTGCAGTTGAGTTGCTTGAAGTGTTTGTAATGTTCAGGGTAATATTTTGGCTGCATTATTAGCACAAAAAAAACCAGAGAACCAAAAGGAAAGGAAAAAGATAACCAAATATTGTATTGGTGTAAGTAAGAGAAGAGCTTTTGAAGAGAGACACATGGCTTTTTGTACGACCTGGCTAGCTCTGCTTATATCCTTGTACAGACGAGTGAAAGCATGATCATTTGCTGATATGATAGAAAACATCCTGTCATCAAAAGGATCAAAATTGGATGATTTTTTCGAATTCTGCTTTTGAGAAACTTAAAACCAAATGGAGGATAGAAATGTATAAATTTTTGACAAAGTGGAAGTTGCTTACATAATTGATTAATGAATTGTCAATTATATGGTCATAGTCAATTTTTAAATTGATTCGTATTGTACCCTAAGTTTTGTGGGCAAATACTACTTAATTGTGCATGCTATTTAGTGATTTAATTCTTTTCATTTCCTTGTATTTTTTGGAATGAGAAGATTTATAGGAGTATAAAACATAGTTGAGGCAAATTGCGGGTACTGATTGAATTGATTTGTCAGTTGTGTTTGACAAATTACAAGATGTACGAGCAATTACTCTACTTTAACAAAGTAAAGAGGATCCTCTTTTCGAATTCATGCATATTTATTGGCGCTTTAACATAATACAATATTCATAAGAAATGATATACAATATGAAAATACATAAACTTTTGGAACGGTTTCTTTAAGCACGTCGCTGTGTGATTTCCACAGTTCTACGACGTTGCTTTCTTCCTACTACTTTAACAAGCCAATCTGGTGTTCCATTAGGGAGTACAAGATATCCCACAGATATTCCAATTACCACCCCAGATGCATACCCCATCAACACTACCTTCCAATCAAAACCATTCCCGTGCTCCAAATCACCCTCTTGTCTGAATGACGATGGTGGTGATTGATGTGCACCACATGTTTTAGAAAGTGGCAATCCACACAATCCTGTATTTCCACTATATGAATCATTTTCAAATGTATCAAATTGCTTGCCATGAGGTATGGGTCCTACAAGTCGATTTTTTGAAACGTTAAACTTTGATAGTGACGTCAAATTTACCAATTTCTCCGGAATAGCACCAACAAGTCTGTTTGAAGAGAGATCTAACCATTCAAGATTGCTCATATCGCCAAATGATGATGGAATTGTACCTGTAAGCTCATTATAAGAAAAGTTAAGCCCCTTCAATGATTTAAGCTTACCGATTACGTTTGAAATCGCTCCTCTGAAAGTGTTGTTTGAGAAATCAATAGTTGTGAAGAAAGTTTGAATCTTCACCATTTCAATTTCAAAGCCTTTAATTGTCACTATCACAGTATCCTGATAGTAGCCCTCTCCCATATATTTCAGTTCATGTTCTTGCAAGTTTATCATGGCCGTCAAATGTTCAAAATATTTTGTTGGCAAGAGACCGCTAAACCGATTGTAGGAGAGGTCCATGATACGCAATTTTTGGAATGGAAACTTAGTTTCTGGAATGCCTATTTCACCATAGAGTTTGTTAGACCTCAAGATAAGAACCTGCAACTTCGGAAGAAATTCCAGCCAATTTGGGAATGTGTCTTGAATTCTGTTGTTTCCAAGGTCTAGAACTTCCAACTCTGTACATGTGAGCAAAGTTCGTGGCAATGACCCTTCCAACTGATTTCCATTAAGATTAAGATTTCTCAAAACATTTCCCTTAGAAAATGTCCCAGGAATCACACCATGAAATTTATTATTCCGTAGATCCAAAACAGAGAGGCTTTGGCTGAAGTTCCCTATGCATTGATGAATTTTGCCACTCAATTTATTATTGGACAAATCAAGGATTCGAAGAATACTCAGGCTGCAGATCGTTGGAGGCATCTCTCCAGTGAATTGATTGTTTGATATGAAAAAGTAATATGTGGAAGGTGGTGGAATCGGAAGGTCTCCTTGGAGCGAATTGTTGCGAAGGTCAAGATACTGGAGTCTTTTCCACCGAAGCTGTCCTACAGTGCCAGTCAAAGAGTTGTGAGAAAGATCTAAATACCTCAATGAATCTTTCCCCAAATCTAACCACCATTTGGGAATGTCGGCTTGGATTCGGTTGTGGGAAAGGTATAACATGTCCAAATCTTGTGAGGCTCTAAGAAAGTATGGGAACTCACTTATGTTACAAGATGACAAATCTAGTAACAAAAGTTGAGGCCAGGTGTTGTTACTCAAATGGTTGAAGCTCAAGGATAAATGATTGAAGGAAAGATTAAGCCCACCGAGAATTTGAAGTTTGGAAAACTTTTCAAACTCCAAATTTCCACCCAAGTTATTGGATGATAAATCAAGCCATCCAAGGTTCACGAGTTCATAGATTGATCTTGGAATAAGCCCATCCAGCTTGTTAGCGCCTAAATCAAGGAATGACAAAGAACGAGATTGGAAGTCAACGATATTACCGCCAAGTTGGTTACTTCCAAGGTGTAACTGATCCAATGATGGCAAGCTACCTAACCAAGATGGTATTGTTCCGTTGATTGAGTTTTCTGATAAAGAAAGGTAAGATAAGTGTCGAGGAATAGGACCCACCAGTTGTCCTTTTGAAAAATCATATAAAGAAGCGATCCCTGTCGAGTTGCTCTCAACTTCTGGAATCTGACCCACATAATTGTTGCCACTAAGATCCAAAGTAGTGAGTCTCTCAAGGTTCAGAAGCGACCATGGAATTTGGCCACCAAAACCGTTTTGCGAGAGGTCCAACGACGTGATTTGTGTGAGATTACCAAGCGATGCAAGATATGATCCTATAAAAGTGCAATTTGAGAGAGACAAATCTCGTAACGACTTTAAAGATCTGGTGAGATGATGCCAATCTACTAAGATTCTAGTATAAGAGAGGCCCAAGGTTTCGAGTGGACTGCTCCAATTAGAATTGGGGAGAGAACCTGTGAGGTTTTTGTTGAAGTCTAAGTTTAGTACTCGAAGGTTTGGTAGGCGGAAAACGCTTTCTGGGAATTTGCCTTGCAATTGGGAATCAAAGAGGACAAGAGTTGTCAAAGAAGAGGACAAATTTTTGAAGGAGTCAGGTATAACTAAAGACATGTCAACTCCGAACAGTTGAAGCTCCCTAAGATTGGTTAAGTTTTGAACAATTCTGTTCAAGCTAAGTGTATCCAGACTCAGAGTCGCAACTGTCTCTGCGTCTTGTCTGAGATTGAGTGAAACCATGTTGGAAAGGAGGGAGATCTGGAAAGGGATTGGGCCACTGAAATTGGAGAAAGAGAGGTCAAGGTGAGTCATATTTACAAATCCACCAAACTTGGATGAAATAGGGGAACCTTCAAAATCATTTTCCATGAGGGCTAGCCTCTTGAGATGGTGAAGAAAGAATAAGCTGCTATTGGAATGGATCTTGCCTCGAAGGAAGCCAAGTTCGAGACCGATCACATGACCTGTCAGCTTTTCACAAGTGACTCCACTCCATGCACAACAATCCTTGGCTTTCTGCCAAGAAGAAATTGTCCAATCAGAAGAGGTATCAATAGAAAAGGAGTTCTTGAATTGGAGCAAAGCAGAGCTGTCATCGGGATGGCATAAATGCCCTGAAGAAAGAGAAGAGGAAGAGTTAGATGATGATGAGCAAGTAGAGTTGAATTGACAAGCAGTAAAGAGCAGGAAGAGGAGGCACAACCAACCCATCTTTCCTTCAAAATCTAGAAGTATATATTCTTCTACTAAAATTTTTGTGAGCAACTCTATCCTGGAGATGTTGATATTTATAAGAAGCTCCGTCAACAGAATTTATCTTCTTTAGACAACAGCCAGTTGGAATAGTCTAGTTGGAATTTTTTTTGCACCAAGTCTTCGATATCTGGCGGTCTTTGGTGTTGTTCCGTAAGCATTTCTGCGTGTTAAAATGGGCACACCTTAATTTTCATAGACTTGCTAATCTGGGTTCCACCTGTTACTAATCAAGTTAGTATGATTCGAATTTGTGTTCACCAATTAAAATGGGACGAGTATTGATTAATTGACCATCAAAATCGTTCTTGTCCCCTTCTTCACGCTGTCATTGATTCTTCTCATCTGATGCTACACGGTTTTGCTTGTCTTTTCTCTTTCTGTCTCTATCGTTAAGCATTTGGTACGCTGGCCTTTTGGCCTTTACTCCAATATCTGAATGAACTTTCACAGCAAATTCATAGAGGAAAAAAAGAGGCAAACAAAAAAAGACCTGCGTCAATTCATCTAGTTGGAAAAAATTTGCACCATGTCTTTGATATTTTGGTCGTCTTTTGTCTTGGTAGGCATTTCTTTCTGCTTGTGCAACGAAGTGTCCACTACGTTTTGCCTGTGGATGAACATTCAACGAAGTCTCCTCAGTCCTTTAGTCCAATCTGTGTATGAACATTCAAAGCAAATTCATAAACATGCTAAGGAAAAAAAGAAAGAACAAAGAAAAGGGACCAAGTTTAACTTTATCACTGGTCCCTTCAATAGCCAAATTCCTAAACATGTGCTTCTCTCAAGTACCTGCATAAAAATAAAAACATAAAAAATATAATTATAATACTAACTTTGAAGAAAGCATGACGGAAAAAGAAACAATGGATGTCCTGGAGATGCATTAATTGTCGTCTAAGGTTGTCGAAATTTTTTATTTTTTATTTTATTTGCGTTTTTATATATTTTAGATGTCAGTTTTTTTATTTAGTGAACGTAGTATATATTAACCACGACGGTTTCTACGTTATAAACGACGGTAGTTTTTCAAATAGACACGTGGATAACTTTTTTTACGTCGATATGGATGTAGTTCTTGACATGTAACATTTTTTAGACGTCTCTAATTTCCTAAAACTGTCGTCTAAGGTTGTCGAGTTTTTCCTTTTTTTTTATTTATATAGTAATTAGACGTCGGTTTGTATTTCGGTATGACGTTGTATGTCTTAAAGACGTCGGTTATTTGCCGTCGTTGAATGTGTTTAGCATTGTCAATGTAGTCCATTACTGTTAAAATTTCCGTTAAATAACATGATAATCCTTTCTTCTTCTTTTGAAAATATATAAACTTTTTTAAAATTAATTTATAAAAATTAAATTAATTCAAAAACATATTGCAATTTAGTTAGAAAAAAGAAAACAAAAAACAAGATGGTCGTGGTTGGGGAGGGGAGGGACTGCTCAGCCATGGTGTCGCGGGGGATTGGGGTGACGACCGTGTGGCTGGGTCTGCTAGAATATCTGGGCAGCGCGACTGGGATAAGACAAATGGCTAGGGAATGGTTGGGTTGGGGGAAGATCGTACTTGGATGGGTTGGGGGGTAGGGAGAGTTTGGATTCGGTTGTGGCTTGGGATTTGGGGCTTTTGGGTGTGGGTGGATTGTTGCTGGGAAAAGAGAGAACAGAGAAGGGTATTGCAGTTGAGATTAATTATTTTTATTACTTTGAGCTTATAAATATTATTTTTGCTCCTTTATTTTATTTTTTAAATTGAATTCAAATATTTTTATTTTTATTAATATTTTAATAGAAGTTTAAAGGATGGATGACATTAGCTAATGGTGCTAAACACAAGGACTAAACTAGTCAACGAGCTAAAACACAAGGACCATTTTAGTATTTAAGCCAAATTTTTATAGCAAACAATTACACTTGTAGTTATAACAAACAATACAATACACCATTGCTTTCTTCCAATCATTTTCACAAGCAAATCAGGAGTCGTGTTAGAGAGCACAAAATTTCCCACAAATATTCCAATTACCACCCCATATGCATACCCCATCCACACTACCTTCCAATCAAATCAATTCTCTTGCTCCAAATTATTATCTTTTTGGAATGAAGATGCCGGCCATTCATTTATGGCATCTGGAACGCATGATTTTCCAAGTGGAAATCCACATAATCCAACGTTTCCACTGTATGAATCATTTCCAAATGTACCAAATTGCTTGCCTTGACGTATGAGCCCCATAAGTCGGTTTTCTGGAACGTTAAACTTTTTAAGCCATGCCAAATTTGTCAATTCCCCGGGCATCTCACCCACAGGCTTGTTTGAAGAGAGATCTAACCATTCAAGAATGCTTAGATTGCCATGCGAGGGTAGAATTGTACTTCAGTGACTTAAGGTTACCGATTACGTTCGAAATCTTTCCTGTGAAGGTGTTATTTGAGAAATCTATAATTGTGAAAGTGTGGATCTTCACCATTTCAATTTTGATGCCTTTATTTGCCACTACCACAGTGTCTTGAAATTAGTCCCACATTGGAAAACTAGAGTTCCTTGAAGGTCTTTATAAGATTTACTCTTAGAAAGAGAATAGTTTAGATTGACTGTGCAAGTGGCCCAATTGAGTGGCAATAGGTAACTGATTGGGTTTGTCGTTCAGCCATTCTATATAAACACGAGCTCTAATTCTGTTTTATCACATCAAAAAGTTATGAGAAAGATCCAAATACCTCAATGAATCTTTCCCGACTTCCAACAACCATTTGAGAAGGTTCCCTTGAATTCGATTGTTGGAAAGGTTTAACTTGTACAAGTTTGGTGAGGCTCTTAGAAAGTATGGAAATTCACTTATGTTGCAAGATGACAAATCTAGTTGCTGAAGTTGAGGCCAAGTATTGTTACTAAAATTGTTGAAACTCAAGTATAGATGGTTTGGAGCGGACTGCTGCAATTAGACTTGGGGAGAGAATCTGTAAGGTTATCGTTTCCACCTAATTCTAGTATGTGAAGGTTGGTAGGCGGAAAATGCTTTTTGGGAATTTTCCTTGCACCTAATTCTAGTATCTAATAAAAATGTTGTGAGCAACTCTATACAAAGCACCATTAATATCCCTCATAAGTGTTAGGCCATCCCCAATGGCAGTGGTGGAGCCACTCCTAGACCTGGAGTGGCCCTGGCCCCCCAATATTTTTATCACTCCTCTATTATATTATATATAATATATAGAATTTATAATAAACAACTTAGAATTTAAGTTGAAATGTCATCTAAAACAAATTAGATATGACTTAATTATAAATATTTAACTATAAACATGTAAGTATTGAATATTTAGGTGTTTTATATACTTCTATTTTCTATTTCGGCCCCCTCAACTTTACAATTATAGCTCCGCCCCTGCCCAATGGTTGGGGCTCCAAAAATGGTTTATAGAGCCCCATTTAGAGCTCCGATGGAATCTTTGGGGCTCTAAAGGAATCTCTCCCACAATGGGAGACTTTATATTCATGGTGGGCTCTATATTTTTAATGATGTAATTTGATTTACGCGGTTTTTTTTTTTTAGTTAACTATTTTACTTTAATGTTTGTTCATGTTATGTTAGTTTTTTTTTTTTTTGCTGAAAATTTTAAAAAAAAAAAAAAAAAATCAAAATTTGGACAAGATTTGGAAATCATGGTGATGTCCTTCTCCTATGCCTTTTACTTTTGTTAGATGTCAGATAATAATAGTGGTAGGCATGGTGATGTCCCCTTCGTTATGGCCTTCTCCTATGCCTTTTACTTTTGCACTACTACAAAAAGTGACAAAGACGACCAGAAAAAAACGACGGCTAAGTGAAAACCGTCGTTGTTTTTTAAAAGACGACGGTTCTATAAAACCACCGTGTAATAACACCTTAGACACCTAAAAAATGGAGATTCAAATTGTTGTTCATAAACAACGACGTACCTAATTAAAAAACCGACGTCTATTTGAAACAGGATTTCCGCAGTGTAAAATCAAAGCAAATAAAGAACGGCAGAAGTTATGAATCGACCGACGTAGAAAGTAAAGACGACGATTTCAAAAAAAGCCGCCGTTTTTAAGCAGAAAATAGCACTACCAAGTTTTCGTATAAGGCGCCATATAATTACAAATAAATCCACGGCGGTAAAATACAAAATATCGCCGTATTAAATTAATGTACAACGACGGAAAATAAAAATATATCGACGTCTTTCTT